TTGGAAAAAATAATGAAAGACTGCCATTAAAAAAACTTTTATTCTGAATACATTAAAAAAAAATAGTGAGATGGTTTTGGTATAGCATAGTAAATTTGTATTCTTTATCTGACTGGAAATCAATAAGATCTACCTGATAAATGGAATTAAATTCAGCAAAATCCTAGGTTTCATAACAACGCCCTTTTTAATACCTTTATTTTTTGTCTGGCAGGGCTCTCAAAGGTGGGTGTACAATTCAATATCATTTCGCGTAACATATTTGTAAACCAAATAGGTTTAAAGTTCCATCAACATTCTGTCACGGCCTCAGTGCCGAACAGCCAAATGAAATCCATGGAAGCACGTGAGATAATTGGACGCTGTATGAATAACTGTATGAATACATATAACTGGACGTGAGATAACTGAGATAACAGGACAAATAAGTTTACTTTTGTTTTCAACAAACATCACAAATTTTTTTTTATTATCATAGCGATTCAGCAACCAATAGTCCCGTGGTTTCTTTCTTAGCGCCCATTTTGGCTTATTTTAGATCACTTTTTAAATTCGGTTATTCGAAAAGAATCGCAGATATATTTCATACTTTGGCCGGTTTGTCATTTGGCATTCTGTAAAATGCCTAGACAATGTGTGAAATGTTTAATCACTTCATACACTGCCGGCCAGTTTTCGGCATTCTATAAAATGCTTAGGCATTCTATAGAAGTGCTTAGGGGTTCTATAGAATGCTTAGGAATTCTATAGAATGCCGGATTTCATACTTATACATATACATGGATAGCATCCACGAAATGGACAACGCAGAAGCCGCATTTTCGGATTATCCGAATGAGCTGTAGTCCAAATTAGGTCGGTTAACGAGTTCTATTGCACGTGAGGGGCGAGGGGAAATCGTACTTTTATGTACTCTTTTCTATTTATTTATCTTTTACTTTACTCTTTTTTGTATTTATTTATCTTTTACTTTTGTATGTATTTATCTTTTACTTTATAAGATATTTGTCGTATTTATTTATCTTTTAATTTTGTATTTATTTTTTACTTACTATTCTTTTGTATTTATTTATCTTTTACTCACTACTCTTTTGAATTTATTTATCTTTTACGTACTACTTTTTTGTATTTATTTATCTTTTACTCACTACTCTTTTGTATTTATTTATCTTTTACTCACTACTCTTTTGTATTTATTTATCTTTTGCATTTATTTATCTTACTTTTATTTACTTATTTTACATGATAGCTTTAATTTTATTAAAATATACCAAATTTACTTTAAATTGATTCTTGACTCATGAAATTATATTTTTTCATTAAGTAACTAAACTCTGCTCCTCAGTTAAGCTCATATCAGTACTAATTAGTTGCATTGAATGCTTACTATTGGAATTATAGGATACTTCAAGGGCAGAAAATGACAGTTACTTACACGACTCTACCTCATAATCTCCTTTTTCAGGTGTGTGACCTTCTTCGTCCTTGTCTGCGATCAGCATAACCTGTTTTTTCATAATACCAACTGAGGTGAAGTGCACGCAGTTATTTGACTTTCTCTTTTACCTAGCAAAATATTTTGAAACAGGAGCGATCAGCAGGCAGGAATAGAGGTGTCAGTAATCGTCTCTGGTATTATTTCTCCCCGTTTTTAAAAGGATTTAATTTTTCTGAGGCTTATTATATTAACATTTCTGAGGCTTATGTTCTTTCAGAGGTTGCATTATGTTAACTTGGCTATCATACTTCGCAAAAAGATAACAAACCATGCCTTTTTCTTTGAATCTGAAAGAAAAAATCTTATATTACGCCAAATGGGTGTTTTTTTAACCTTTTTTGTGTTGCTTTTCTTTATTAAATATTATGTTCTTCGCAATTAAACCACAAAATTCAATACAACAGCAATATCGTAAAATATTTTAAAAGAGCATATTATCTTTAGAATTTCCGATACATAGTCACGCGCTCTGAAGATATTTTTTTCTCCCGTATAGTGTTGCCATTGCTGGCTTTGAAATCGTTGAGTTTCTTAATTAAAAACTCATAAATGCTTTACAAAATATGAAACAAATTCCAAATTCCAAGTTTGGGCTTCCAATGCCCATATTCGCGTGGAGGCGTACGTTTTTCCAAATTTGATGGCCATAGGTATCGTTGTTTTATCACAATGCGAGAAACATACAAAACATTTATGCAGATTTTTCATTATTTAATTTCTTTAAATATAATACAGGGCGGTAATATTTGGTGGCAGCAATTTCAAAAGTGATTCGCCGTTTATAGTATAGTGAATCGACGCAAAATGCGAAAACGAAATTAATAGCCCTTTTTAGCTAATGGCTAATGGACTAAAAAAAAGAAGAATTCGGAAGGGTTTAGATTTTAACGATAGCCTAAAAGGTTTTTTTTTAATTTAATATGGTTTTTTTAGTACAGATTATCGATAGAGATGGCCTAGGTGGAATCGCGTAATATATTATAAGATATACACAATTAAACTAATAATGAGAACCTTATATATTATCTGTTATTTTAAAAATGAAAAAAATATGTAATGCAATTTTATAAGAATATTTAATGTTTTTAATGAGATATATCACGAAATAAATTTATTTTTATTTAAATTAATTAAATTAAAAAATAAAAATAATATTCTTAACTGTACCTATTTCTTTTAAACAATCTAATTTTTTAATTAATAACAAGCATAGTAAATATGAAAGAATAATATCTTATGCTTTTCCATTGGCAACAGATTCGAATGAAAAGTTAAACAACGGTTTAAAATAAAACGAAAATCGTATTTCGAGACTATTGTTCTTAAAGAAGGAAGCAGAATTTTGAAAGAGAATAGCTAACGATATAACGTAGATTTTAAAGTCGTGCAATGAATAACCATTGCACAACTTTAATATCTACATTAAAGCGATCAAACCTCATGTAAACGAATCACTTGATCAATTATTAAAAAAGGTGCATAAGTCTCGAAAGACACATTTTGTCCGAATCGTTTTCCAAATTGTTGCCACCAAATGTGATCGCCATGTATTATACTTAAAGAAATTAAATAATGAAGAATTTGTATGTATTTATCTATGTCCTTTGCATGATGGAAAAACGACGGCACTTAGAGTTTTGAATTGGGGTAGTCCTCCATCCGAATATGTACATATCAAAGCCCGAGTTTTGAATTTCGAATATATTTTTCATTTATTTCATATGTTGTACAAATTAAATGAATTTCTGATTAACAAATTCATTGATCCGGAATTAAGCCGGATGTTGTAAAGGCATGGATGTTTGTAAATGTATAATGTTTGTGCGGCATGGGCGCACTTTGAATATGCGGCGAGTCGAAAGTGCTCTCGAGAAGTTGGTGGTAGGAGAAGATGACTGGGAAACACTCAGAGCCATAGGCTCGTGGTGCTCCCCATCAAAATTAGGGGCGGAATTGAGCAAAGTCGTGCTGTCACCTGTATGGTGCTCTTGGCAATGACATGCACAATGTTGCACTCCCTGCCACGATGCATTTCGTGGGCATGTTTTGATATTACTGTCAGACAAGTGAAATATGGCGACAACAACGCAACACAACTAAATAGCTTACCTTTCACATAAGCTTAAAATAAAAAAATCTGATACCACATGACTTCCTTGTACGGAATATTAAATTATACGCATTTTTTCTTGCATTTCGTTTAAACTTATTGGATTGAATTAAATCTACTTCGCCGAAAGCGCATAAACCACAATAGAATAAATGCATTCTTTAAAATTCACTCTAGTATAGCGACAATCTGGCGCTAGATTCACTTAACAGTATTAATAATTATATAACAGTTAACTTATATAATAATTATATAACGGAAACTAAGTTAACTGTTATATAATCCAATAATTATATAACAGTTATATATTTCGTTCATATTATAACTCATAATGCACAAAATTTATATCATTTAAAGAATAGAATTATCTAACCGTTGCCACATGTTCTAATCAAATACTATAATAAAGCTAGAACGATGTATAAAAGAAATTAAGCAAACAAAACAAAAAAGAAACAGTTTTTCACAGACGATTGAGTATTTCTCATTCAATTAATTCAGTTCTCACTTCGCGAGAAGGCAAAAATACATAAAAACTCAAAATATGTCTATATTAAAAATTGCAAAGTAAATTCTTAAACACTTATTTCCTCGAATAAATTTCCATAAGGATTAAGCCATGATTTAATTGGGCAATAATAAATGAAAGCGTTATCTTTGTTGTTGCGAAGCTAAGTTTCTCTAGATTGGCAACAAATCCACTAGTCTCCTAAGTTTCAAATGTAAACATCAATGGCCGCCATATTAAAAAAATTAGGCTTAGCGGCACTTAACACAACTTTTAAAATTGTTGATAATTCTAAAAATATTGCATACAGATTTACTAAAGGCAGAAAAACCTTAACCGGAAGATAAAAACAACATAATACAATCATTTTTTAAAGCAAAAAATGTACAATTTACAAACATATAAGAGTAAAGAAACTGAGATCACTGAGCCGGGTAACAGAGTGGATATATATATAAATATATTTATATACGTTTGGTGCGGCCGATTGCAACCAAAATACGAGGGGCACATCTACATGTTATAGCAGTCCTATATACAAAATTTCAACGTCCTGAGGCTACTCGTTTTTGAGTTTGCGAGATAGGTACGTACGCACGTACGTACATACGTTCGTACAGACGCCACGAAAAATTCTCTTCAGAATTCATTTTAAAGCAGTTTTTTTTTTTTTTTTTTTTTTTTTTTTTTTTTTTTTTTTTTTTGAGGAAAAGAGTCTTTTATTCTGTCCTTACGTACAGATATCACGCAAAAACATCGTTAAATTGCATTCGATAGCGGTCAAAATGGATATTTTCGTTGAAATATGCTGCCTGAAACTTTTCGCGATTACAATACTTCCTTTTTACTTCGTACAAGAAAGTAAAAAAATTATGAAAACTTACCAAATTTTCGGAGAAAACTTTCGCAATGAAACAAATGTTTGATAACGTTTGCAGCCTCATAGAAAAATTATCGGAAACTGTCTTCTTCACGAATTGTAGTAGCTCCTCACCGGTCAGTCGGGCTCTTTCGTTACATTTGTTGATTATCAACTGGGGGATAAAAAGAACTGTTCACATATAAATGTACTCGCAAACAAAGCAATTATTCTCATTGCAAAAACTTGTAAATGAGGATATTTATCTTTTGACAAATATGAATAAAATTTAATCAGATCTACAGTAATAAATTTATCCTTTGTAATTCTTTAGGCCCGGTGGCGCAGTGGCTAGCTTGTCGCGCAGCAGTACCACAGGTCCGGGGTTCAATCTCGGCTCAGTGGGCCACTGGCTCAATGAGCCCGAGTATTCTTTACTGACGAGTCCAGATATAATCTGATCAGTGATTCTAGATGTGTTTTGATCTGGAAAGAGAAAGAAACATGCAACTTATCTTCCCTTGTCCGTGAAATATACCGTCTCCTCGACTGTGGTTTAATCATTTGGAGAGGAATCATGACAAATAGCCGCACCGAGCTGAGTATCTTTCAAGGAAGTTCTGTAACCGCTCGGAGATATGTGGATGAGGTACTGGAACCCCAAGTCAGGCTGTTTAGGGATGCTGTTGGCCCAGAGTTTTTGCTAATGGATGACAATGCTCGGCCTCATAGAGCATATATGGTATCAGAATGCTAGCAAACAGAAGATATCACTCGATTGGATTGGCCACCTTACTCACCTAACTTGAACCCGATTGAGCATGTATGGGATGCCTAAGGGCGTTGAAGTTTAGCGCGCCAAATTTCTTCCCGAACCCCCCAGGAGCTGAAAAATGCACTTTTAGAAAAGTGCCGTGCAGTTCTGCTAGACAAGATCAACACACTATGCATATCTGCCGAGGTGACCACGCAACATATCAAAGAAAAATTTTTTCACAAGAGGTGACTTAATTTTTTCATCATTTTCCAGTTACCATAAATCTGGTTTTAATCTCAATCTTTTGCGAATAATCAACAGCCAAACATTGTAATTTATTAGCCCAAACGGGCAATTTGCCCAAAAGGCCTATTAATTTTGTTTTGGCATTTTGCGTCGGTTGTCTGTTCACTTTACAAATTGTTGCCTCCAAATATTAGAGCCCTGCATTATATTTAAAGAAAATAAATAATGAAGAATCTCCATAAATATATGTAGGTTTCTCGCATTGCAATAAAACGACGGTACCAACAGCCATAAAATTTTGAATAACGTACGTCTCCACCCGAATATGGTCATCCAGAAGCCCAAATTTGGAATTTGTTCTATTACCTATTTTATATTTCGTAAAGCGTTAATGAGTTTTTGATTAAGAACGTTAACGATTTCAAAACGAGTAATGGCAACACTATACGAAAAAAAAAAAATTATCTCTAGCATGCGAGACTGTGTATTGGAAATTCTAAAGATATGCATTTTTAAAATTATTTTGTGATACTGTTGTTGAATTGAATTTTATGATTTAAGTGCGAAGAACATGGTATTTTATAAATGAAAGTAACACACGAAAAGTTAAAAAAAGGTCCCTTTGGGAATAATATAAAATATGAAAAACTTTCAGATTTTTTTTTTGGGGGGGGGTACTAACGAAAGCTTTTGTATTAATTTCTGTTAATAATTTTTCATTAATTATCAGCTATTTTTTATTTCTGTCATTACCCTTTAATTTTGATAAATAGTGTACCTCTGAATTACGGTTTAATAAAACGCAGCACAAAGGAATTGTAAAATGCTACCAATTATAATAAATCACCTTACTGTCATTTTTGTTGTATTAGTTTCAGAAGTATTACTAAATGGAACACCATTTTCATTTCATTTTTTTCCGTAAATGATAAAATAGCGGTCCATGACCTTCTAATCAAAAAAAAAAAAAAAAAAAAAAAAAAAAGAAAAAGAAAATTAACGGCATTAAAATGAAAATGTAAAAGGAAATTAAAATAATCTTGATCCATTAAAATAATCTTGAATGCCATTAAAATAATCTTGATCCAAAAGTAAAATATTAACGTTGAAAGCGTGTTCTTTTTATTAACGTTATACGGGCTTTTCAAATGCAGTTTTTCTTATTTATCTTATATTCTAAAAATAAATTAAATGATGAATAAATACATCTTAGCGTGCAGTGCTTTTATGATTTATTCCAGTTATTTTATTTTACTGAATTATATTATCTTATATTCTTGGAAAGGTTCTAAACTTATTAAATTATCATCGTTATATAATATATTTAAAAATTATATTATATAACGATGAGTGAAAAGAAATTTTATTCATTTAATAATCATAATAACTCTTCGCGAGTTATTTGATGCTATTTTTATCCGATAAGTCAAAACAGATGTTTTACTTGTTATCATAAGGCCACCTGGGATTTTTCAGATAAGGAACAAACAAAATACTTTAGCTTCACGACCATAAAGAGTTGAACAATGAACAACAATTGCACACCAACGATATTACTTGTTTTCCTTTAAATTTTTTCCCGTTTCGATAATTGAAATGTCCTTACCTTACAAATCAGTATCAGCTTTTGTATTTTCTCAAATATGAACTAGAAGTCTGTAGAGAATTTAATACCTGTTTTTGAAGCATTAATTTTCCATGATGTTTATATTACGAAGGAAGTTTTAGCCGAAAAGAGACGTTAATCTAGAATGGGATATTAGTTACGAACGACGTATCACTTTTCAAATTGTTGCCACCAAATATTATTGCCTTGTATAATATTTAAAGAAATTAATGAATGAAGAATCTGCCTGAATCTAAGCATATTTCTGGCATTGTGAAAAAACAACGGTACCTAAAGCCATCATATTTTAAATAACGTAGTCAAACATGGGCACTTAGTAGCCTGAATTTTGAATTTCGAATTTATTTAATTATCTATTTCATATTTTGTAAAACTTTAACGAATTTTTTAATTAACAAAGTCAACGATTTCAAAGCGAGCAATGGCAACACTGTATAGAAAAGAACATTATTGTCTCCAGCGAGTGAAACTACCGGAAGTTCTAATATATGCTGCTTTTATGTATTTTGTGATTTTGCTATTGAATCGAATTTTATGTTTCGTAAGCGCCAAGAATGTGTTATATAATAAATATAGTAAGCAAACAAAACGTTAATATTAAAAAGGCAAAAAAGGTTTCGTCGTTAAAATGAAAACTGAACATGATTATGATGAACTGGGAAAAAAAAAAAAAAAAAAAAAAGAAATATCTACGCCAACGCTTAACGCTTCAACGGGAATTCTAAACGGCGACTGTTAAAATCTGAAACCTTTCAGATTTTTTAAGTATATATTTATAGTATATTTTTGTTTTCCTTTATTTATTTATTTTTATTTTAAAATTTTAACAATTTTTTAATTTGCAAATTTTTATTTTAATTTAATATTTCGTACAAGGAAGTCATGTGATGTACACATCAGATTTTTTTATTGATATTATCGTTTACCAAAAGCTGGAAAAGCATAAGAAACTTGATCTAAAGCGTATTTTTATCAAAAATATTATTACAGTCTAGTTTTGATTTTTTAATCAAACCCGCAGGCTTTTCTTTTGAAAACAGTTTAATTTACAGTCTTGTATTGAGCTTCACTTTTCGTATTTTGATTTGACGCCTTTCTTTTTATCTCGCCATCTTTATGGCCTCAACAGGTACCACATAGAATAGACGGAATGAAATCAATGACTTTAGATATTTTTTGTAGTTTTTGTTTGATTAGGCATTCAAACTATTGAATATTTGTCAAAAACTGATGCGAAAATTAGGGTTTATTTAAATATGGCAAAGCACTCGAGGGCTATCTGCCTAAGGGAGGAGATACTTTCGTGGAGGGCTTTTCTGAAGGAAACTGGCTCGCATCCACGTTATACAAGGGACAAACCTCAAAAACGGCCATGCAGCCAGCCAGTTAGCTGGGATTCGAAACTCCGGACTGAACTACCAGCTTTCAGCGACTTTACCGACTTTATCCCTCGGCCGCTGGTGGGCGGGAAAATTTAGATTCAAATTGAATCAACTGTAAATAAAATCATAACAGTAACATAAATGTGAAAAAAAAGAGCCAAGTTCGGGTGAAACGACGTTCGTTGTAGTCGGTGTCACTGACAAAAAAATTGTTGAGATCTAACGGATAGCAGGTTCCATAGCAATTTCTTAAATTATAGCTGTAGGAATGTACAAAGTTCTTCAATTCATTTAAAAAGCAATTTATTACTTTCTTTGATATCGGATTTCTGGTTATTGTTTCTATGCCTTTAGTTAATCTGTATGCAATAACTGTTGAATTATGAACAATTTAAAAGCTTAAGTGGCGTTAAGCCTAACGAGGCCGTCATTTGTTTATATTTGAAACCCTTAGTAGAACAGTGAATTAAGTCAGTTTGTGCACCAACTGTGTGTCTTTTTGCCGAGTGGGACCAAAAGTAAACTTTCAATTTTGAGCACCGAAAAATCTGTTTTTCTACCCGCTGGTCGAATTTTGCTTAGAAACTCTAATTTTAATTGTAAAACTTACTTTTTTAAGTGTTTTTTAAATGTATTTGGTGTTTTATGTTTTTCTGTATTTTACAGTTTTTAATGAAGCTGTTTTAAGCCTTTAATGTATTTTGTCTTACCGCGAAGTGAGAAGTGAATTCATTGAATGAGAAATATATCTCTAACGAAATTCCAAGAAATACGTTTAAATTAAGTGCAGCAAAAATGTATACAATTTAATAAGCCGTACAAGGAAGTCATGTGCTGTCCACGTCAGGTATTTTTAGTAGGTCATCAGCAAAAACTTTTTTCTGCTTAGGTAAAAAGCTTCTGCAAACTTTGTCATATTCTTCTAAACAAACAGTCTTCTTTATACTCCCATAAATCTGTACCCGTTATTTATTTACGATTTTTTTAACCTGTTTAAATAACGTAACAGTACGTGTTTCCTTGGTTGTGCTTCTGTATTAATAGTATATGTTCCTAATTTAAATAACATAAAACTATAATATAATTCAATATCTATTTTAAGTAGACGTAAAATTAATTTTGATGAATATGTATCATATGTAGATTAGTCTACAATGCTTGAC